TCATTTTAGTAATTGATTTTTTTATCCGGCCATTTTCTCCTACATTTTTATAGCATGTCAGCTAACCACTCTTTGAATGATGCAGATCTTATTTCAATGTAAGAAAGTATATAACACTATATGGCATTCGACGGGCGTATATTGTTCCGCCCCGCGGTACTCTTGTTAGAATTGGAGCTTGTTAGCGCTATTTATCGGACAACAATTGAGTTATCTTTCCCACAACCACTATAGGTTTCCTCACTCCCACAACCACTGTAGGATTCCTCATTCATGACTCATATGATACACCTGCTAGGAGTTGTTCAACAATTTTGTTTACCTACTTATATTTCAATTCCTACTCAAGTTGGACTCAATGCAACTATATTGTACCAATTGTAGCCTTTTTCATTTGCCGATGAATTTGACCAGATTAACATTGCCTGTGCGTATGGTTTTCCGAAGGGAGATTCATATTGACTTGTCTAAACAAAGATACAACTTTATGATATTTCACATTTTTATTGAAGCAACACAAGAAATTGTTCTAACAACCAAAATCAATCAATCTGCAAAATATTATCAGCTAACGGTTGCTAGCAGTAGTGACAAGCCATGTTATGCCCTAGAAATTCTCCCTCCAGCTACCCAATATGCCTTGTGTAAGTATGAACCCACGGAGCAAATCGGAAAAAACGTAGATCCACAGGGGTTCGTTACAAATATCTGAAATATCATGCTATAACTGATATTGGTCACAGCACACATATATGTTTATGTATGCTGTGACCCATAGCAGTATAGCATATGTGTATACATGTATGTAGCATATGTGTATTTCAGGCATTTGGAACGAACCCATGTGCCTGTGGTAGATCCATGTGGTCCCGTCTTATATGTAATGCAATCAAACAGCCAAATGTCATATCAATTTTTTCGTCCTTTCAAGCCAAGTATGGTTTCATGTCTAATTCGACATTTAATTACTGCAGCTTCACATTCCAGGAATGTAGAACCTCGAAATTAAGCGGCTTTCCACTTCGAGCTAGTAAAAAGATGGCTGCCGTAGACTCGCAGCTGAGCCTGTGCACCGCGTTTACGATGACGCATCAGAAAATTTGACATCTTATAAATTCATCAACAAAAAATAAATATGACATTTAAAAAATGGTTTTGTATTTTGTTTCTACATAATTAGGCTGTATTGAATTATCAACGTACACCATCATGTTGTTTGATGGTCCTTCACTGATGGACTATATTATTTTTTACATTACGGCAATACGTCAAAAAGCTCCAGAACATTGAACAAACGATCAGAATGGACACCACAAGTTCCAATTATTGAAAAAAACCACCACGTTGGTTGAATTGAATTTGTTTCAAGACCAACTCAATTCATCACCCCATGAAATCGACCAAAGCAAGCAAAGCATGGATGTGATTTCGTCAATCTTTGATTTATGACGTCACGTAACAATGCTTTTCGACCTCATTTTCCATTGTGACGTCATAATCATGCTCCATGGCAATGGTTACCTAATCGGAAACACACATGCTGTATTTTCCAAGGGAAAAAATGTGGGGTTTCCGATAAAATACGAATGTTATGAGAGAAACAGGTCCCAAACTCGTGAATAGAAAAAAAGAAATGGTCGCTTGGCAGCCATCTTTGGTTTCGACAGTTCCAGTTTGTTACACTATTTCCAAAGTAGTACTGGATAGATCTTTCTCAAATATCAAATTAGGAGTTCCCCTTTTACACATTAAGTACTGTGCTAGTCCATAGGTCAAACTACAACCTCACTTTGAAGGAGCAATGTCATACACAGCAGTATAAGGTTTTGACTGAAAGTTACCACAAGGTACATTTACTGTTAACATGACTCAATCTAACAGATGAAAATGTTAGAGAAAACAAAAGAAGTAAAGAAAACAAAAGAAGTAAAGAAAAGATCAATCTTATATAAAGCTTATCAAGAAGGTATACTGGTGGGCGTTAAGCGGCATCCGTGTTAACCAATCTCTGTCTTCCATCTGTATGTTACAATCATTTTTCTATATTTATTATAGGTGCTGTAAGACTTCGTAGCTCCATTTCACAAACAAACACAGGTATCGTAGAGTTGTTTTGGAAAGCGAGTTCACCTGATCAATATATTTGGGCATTTCTGTGTGGGGGATGCTGGACTGATAAGAATGCAAACGTTACATGCAAACAACTTGGTTACAGGTACGTACAGTAACAGGTGCAGCATGAACATTTTAATGCAATATTATCTTCATTTAATTCAACGAAAATAATACACAGAACATTGCTGTTTTCACCTGTGTTATTCCACCGTGTAGTTAATTATGTTCAATGGTGTCGCTCGCTGTGATTAACCCTATCGGTTTACATATACTACATTACTACATATGATTTTATAATCGTCACTTATTTTACATAAACGCCATGCCACAAACACTAAATAGTTTAAATCCTAAGTAGCTGATGCAACTCTACTGGGTTTTACGGGAGACATCATGACGGGTGTATGAAATGCAAACACGGTGGAATATCGGAGGACATTTCCGTTTTATTAATTTCATCTTTTTGTTATATATATATATATTTGAACATGATCATGATGATGTTTTCCCTTTTGATTTTGTTTCTTTCTGTATCAGTTTTTGTATCCTAGTTTATTGATGATATTGAACATTTTATTTCTTCGTATCAATACACAAATTCAAACTAATATAATTACAGTCGAGATTCAAACTGGTTCCTTGTTATCTTCAGCTCAGATTACTTATTCACCCCTGAATTTTATAATAAACTATTCCATCCTTTGAATTGGAAGAGATACAATGTGTCTTCAGGGGTGAATGAGTTAAAAGCGTTACCGCATTTGTATTCAGCATATAGCCGGTTATTACTAATTTGAAAGCTGTAAAGAAGGTGAAATGACTTCACTATACCAGGATATCAGGTAACTCAGGTATCAGCATAACTTAAAGTCTACCATGTGTTAATTGCCGCTTTGTCATTTATTCTCTGAGGCTTGGCGTTTTCTTTAAAAACGGGTATATTGTCATCGTAAGTTCGTTGGAAATGTATATTATCATATTTTATTTACTAGTTACAAGGAACTAGATGCTTTACATTTTAGGACACGTACATGTATGTACTGTATGTACTTTTATATGAACACTTATATCAGTAACCAGTTGTTCTATGTACATTTCTTTATAACGGTAACTAGTTGTTCTATGTAACAACATTTCTATATAACGGTAACCAGTTGTTCTATGTAACAACATTATTATATAACGGTAACCAGTTGTTCTATGTACATTTCTATATAACGGTAATCAGTTGTTCTATGTAACAACATTTCTATATAACGGTAACGAGTTGTTATATGTACATTTCTATATAACGGTAACCAGTTGTTCTATGTACATTTCTATATAACTGTAACCAGTTTTTCTATGTACGTAACAACATTTCTATATAAAGGTAACCAGTTGTTCTATGTAACAACATTTCTATATAACGGTAACGAGTTGTTCAATGTGCATTTCTATATAACGGTAACCAGTTGTTCTATGTAACAACATTTCTATATAACGGTAACCAGTTGTTCTATGTAACAACATTTCTATATTACGGTAACCAGTTGTTCTATGTACATTTCTATATAACGGTAACCAGTTGTTCTATGTAACAACATTTCTATAAAATGTTAACCAGTTGTTCTAGCTATATACATCACATACCTGTAATTAAACACTGAACATTGTTCTTTGTACATAGTTTCATCAACCGTGTTTTGAATCATACTTTTTCCAACTACAGTAATCTTTTGTCTCCTTTTGTATTTCCATAGCTGATAAATACTGTTCAGTAAACACTTATGAATATTATATTTGTCTGAAGTGGTATATAGGTGACAAAAAATGGGTTTTTTGATTTCGGCAAGTAACATTATATTAATATGATGAAGATATACGCTAAAACCTGAAATCAAGAAAAATGAAGATACAAATAAGCATTTAAGTTATATTGGCAGTAGTTTTTATTTCCAATGATTACGACTGAATGTTGTTAGTTTGTTGTTTATTTTACCAGTGTTAACTTTTACAGACTATATGTTGTGCTGTTTACAAATTACAAACTACGGAGTTCCTAAGTATATTAGAACAGTTGCACGTCTGTATCGATTTACCATGTTTGCAATATGTTAAACGGAAGACGACGTACAATTAGGATAGTATGTTTAAATACTTAAAATGTTACTCAGATATTTGTATTACAGTAGAGGTAACAGAGGCGGAACATTCCGAATAATTGACAAAGTAGCACGGTGGACTGATTCATATCGATGCCTTGGATACGAGTCAGAATTGAGATTTTGCCCAGTGGTTTATAACAACTGTCCGTCTTGCGAAAGTCGTGCAGGTATTCAGTGTGCTGGTAAGAATATTTTGTCAAATAATTTGCATGTATTTGTGAAAGTATTTGTTCCTATTATAGTAGATCGTAAAATAATAATAAAAAATCATAAAAATATGCACACTTTTTATCAATTAAGTTCATTATTGAAAGAACTTTCAGCGAGGAAATGTATATAGATTTGTTTCATTTCAATGATTATACGCTTTTTTAATTTCTTTATGACACAAATAACACATTTAATAGGTTGTAACCTATCATATGCTATTGTAGTAAGTGCAGGTTGTATTTCTTGTAGTTAAACGAGGTTATGATTTATCGTAGTTAATAGAGGTAATGTTTCTAATAATTTAAAAAAGTGTAAACAATATGTAGTGTAATAGCTAGAGTATGTAATTTACTTGCAGATGCTCGAATGGTCAATGTTTTGATAGAGTAATACTCCTCACAATATAGATGTGTCCCAATGAATATAATAACGACATTCTTATACTTATCCATTATCAAAGACAACAGAGTGGAAAACTTTAGGACACATCAATAGGTTTCTGATGTAAACATGCTTACGATAGGCATAATGAGAATCTCTGGAATTCGTATGTGGACTGAGAGGACATTGAGTAGAGTAAAACAGTACATTTAATGGTTGAACTATTATATATTAAATTGCGGTTATTATTAATTTTAGTTGATGGAGGTTGGAGTCAGTGGAGTTCTTATGGGGGTTGCTCAGCGACTTGCGGTGAAGGGGTTCAGGAAAGGATAAGGTCGTGTAACAATCCAACACCCCTAAATGGCGGATTTATATGCGCAGGCAGTAACATATATCGTAGAATATGTAACGAAAGGACATGCCCAAGTAAGAAATGTGATATATAACACTGGTCTTATAGTAATGATTGAACGTTTTATTTATTTCTTTATGAAAAAAAACTAACATTGGGAATAGGTTGTGACCTGTCATATGCTTTTCTAGTTAGTGCAGGTTATGTTTCAATGTAGTTAGTGCAGGTTTTTGTTCATTGTAGTTAATGGAGGATATAATTTATTGTAGTTAATTGAGGTACACTGTAATAATTCATTGTAGTGAGTGCAGGTTATACATATATATGTACCTTTTCGAAGTTAATGGATGCTATTATTTATTGTAATCAGTTATTTTTCGCAGGGGTTTTTATTTCGCTATATTCGCTTTTTGAATAATTTCCACGAATTCTAAACACCAGCGAAATTTTCGAAAATGTTAGCTACTTTTACGGACCTTATCACAACATGTTGAAAATACTTATAGCCCAACGCTTAAATGAACTCAAATCTGATTATCACCGGACAACAGAGCAGTCCGTGTAAAAACAAACACTTATATATAAGTGGCCACAGCATATTTATGTGTACACAGTGGGTGATTACAGGCGACATTCTATTCATCTGTCAACAAAATGGCATTCATATCGACTGTATACTGCATCTGGTAACAGTTCGATGCTTAAATGTGGTAACTATAGGTTATATCTCATTGCAGTTACTTGTAATGATAGTTGGAATCCGTTAAAGTTAGTGAAGGTTGTACATTTTTATCATTAATGGAGATTATGCTTTATTGTAGTTAATAGAAGTTGAATTATTCAATCTCGGTTATTATTTATTTTAGTTGATGGAAGTTGGAGTTTGTGGATTCCTGATGGACGTTGTTCAGTGACTTGCGAGAAGGGAATTCAGAACAAGAAAAGGTTGTGTAACAATCCAACACCCCACTTTGGTGGATCGGCATGCGCAGGCAGAAACGAAACTGTTGGATTCTGTAACGAAGGGCCATGCCCAAGTAAGAAAATATTTGATATAAAATACTTGCCTTTTATATAATGATTGAACTATTTCTTATTTCTTTATGAAAAAATAACCTACTCGCCGAATAGGTTGTAACCTGTCATATGTTATTGTACATAGTGCAGGTTATAATTCATTGTAAGAAATGAATGTTATTTTTTACTGTAGTTAACTGAGGTCGTGCGTGTAATTAGCTAATACAGGTTATAATTAATTGTTGTTAGTGCGGGTTACAATTAATTTTAGTTAAACGAGGTTATATTTATTGTAGTTAGTAGTGATTATTTTCATTGCAGTTAATGGAGGTAATAATTTATAGTAGTGAATGGAGGTTATAATTCATTGTAGTGAATAGAGGTTGAAATATTATAAATTAAAAAAGTGTAAACAATGCACTGTAATAGCTAGGGTATGTAATTTTTCATGCAAATGCTCGAATGGTAAACGTTTTGATAGAGTAATACTCCTCACAATATAGATGTGTCCCAATGGATATAATTACGATATTGAAAGTTATAACTTATTAACGAAGATTATTTTTGTTTTGATAATAAAGATTATAATTATTAGTAGTTGATGGTGGTTATATCTTTTTTGTAGTTAACGGTTGTTATGATTTATTGTAGTCAATGGAGGTTATCATTATTGTTGTTAATTTAGGTAATACATTGTAGTTCCTAGAGGTTAATGCAGGTTATAATTTATTGTAGTTAATGAAGGTTATTTAAGCATTGAACTGTTACCAGATGTATATTGCAGTATACAGTATAGGCTAACGACATATAGGCAAATGCAACACAGAATGTAAATATAACTCAATGTTGTTAATGGTGGTTATAACTCAATATTTACATTCTGTGTTGCATTTGCCTATATGTCGTTAGTAAACCAAATTCCAGTATATGAGACTGTATACTGCAATTTACAGTGATTCGGTCAGTGTAGGAACATACATGGCCACCAGATACTTTCGGTATCAATAGGCCTATAGTCAGAGAACGTTCTTGGTTCGTAAGCATTTAGCAATGTAGGTCATCGCAAAAGATAAAGCAACCTGGCAAATTATGACAATATAAATTTATTATAAGATGTGTAGGTACCACAAAATTATTGTAAGCGCCATTCTAGATACGAAATTACCAAGTTTGTCAACGTCATCACACAGGGGCTCGGTTTCGAGATTTTGAGTTATGCATAACATCAGTGAATAACCACAACACTACAATTCAGCATTTATAAAACCTTGTAAAAGTCGAGGGTATCGACAAGGTTTAAGAATGTGTATAAATACCTTTTTAAGTGTTATGATTCTTCAGTGATGTCATCCATTACTCAAAATAACGAAACCGAGTCCCTGTGAACGTCGTCTGCTAGCGATGCTAATCTGACCGATTAGACATGGAATTTGTTTCAATCGACATTTCCTTGGAATCATTATCACCTACTGAAAGGACCACTTTAATTAAAAAAAATCCGAGTATATATGCTTCTGAAAATAACGGGCGACATTATATTTATCTTTCATCCAAATTGCATTCATATCGACTGTATACTGCATCTGGTACCAGTTCAATGTTTAAATGTAGTTACTATAGGTTATATCTCATTGCAGTTACTTGTTATGATGGTTGAAATCCGTTAAAGTAAGTGAAGATTGTACATTTTTATCATTAATGGAGATTATGCTTTATTGTAGTTAATAGAGGTTGAATTATTCAATTGCGGTTATTTTTTATTTCAGTTGATGGAAGTTGGAGTTTGTGGATTTCTGATGGACCTTGTTCAGCGACTTGCGGGGAGGGGGTTCAGGCCAAGAAAAGGTTGTGCAACAATCCAACACCCCAATATGGTGGATCGGCATGCGCAGGCAGTAACAAAGATGTTGGATTCTGTAAGGAAAGGCCATGCCCAAGTAAGAAAAAATTGATATAAAATACTTGCCTTTTTTATAATGATTGAACTATTTTTAATTTCGATATGAAATAATACCTAACCCGATGAATAGGTTGTAACCTGTCATATGCTATTGTAGATAGTACAGGTTATAATTTATTTTATCACATGCCTATGCAATCTTACGATAGTAATACATTATTTTGTCAGGTGTGTTTTCTGTCTGCTTGTATCACACATGTGCGACACAAGATCCTGTATCACCACAGTAGCCGGAACTACTTTTTAGGGGAATTCCCTCTACTGACACCGCTAAAAATAGCCTGGTATTTGTATTCAACATAAACTTCCAAATATCGTCACAGTCGCGTACAACATCACATTCATCACCTCCAACGAAATACCGACGAATACTGCCAATTGTTGACTCAGATGATAAAGATTTTATCTAGATTTCTTGTGTTTTCTGACCTTGGAGCGTAACGTCACTCAGACTCAGCGCGTGCTGTGACGTTGCGAGACTTTGGGAGAATTTGTAATGACCGACATTTAAACTTGCATGAATATACGTAACTTTATGACATTAAATGTGTTGCATTTGAATTATTCTATGTTATTTTGTATTTAACCATTAATATTTAAAATGTTGTACACCCAAAGGTACAGTTCAGTCTCAAAAAGTCTCTTATCATTCACAGGTCCTGTGAACCATCCAATGACCTTTTTTAAGACCATGCAATGATTTTTTTTTAAGATTTTTTTTTCTATATCTCAGAATTATCAAAACAACACATTAATTATACAAATAATGTATTAAATAAAAATAAAAGAAATACATTATCATAAAAAAAACAAGATAATGCCATTTTTTTAATAAAAAACAAGTTTCTTATAAAAAAAATCCTGGCATTGCGTCGACCTGTGTGCCGATGGATAACGACAAAAAGAGGAAAAATATAAAATGTGCATTTAGTCATATAAGATAAAATTCCTAATTACCAAGGCTACAATAGGGTTAAGTCATGTGATAAAAGCAAAACCACACATATGTGTTGATATGAGCACACTCGTGATATATTCCTCCGCCACCACAAACTCATACGATCCGAATATTCAGATCAACACATATGTGTGGTTTTGCCTATGTATTTAATGGAGGTTATTATTTACTGTAGTTAACTGAGGTAATCATTCACTGTAGTGAAATGAGGTCGTGCGTGTAATTATTCATAAGTAGTTAATACAGGTTATAATTTATTGTTGTAAGTGCAGGTTACAGTTTATTTTAGTTAAACGAGGTTATATTTATTGTAGTTAGTAGAGGTTATTTTCATTGCAGTAAATGGAGGTAATAATTTATAGTAGTGAATGGAAGTTATAATTCATTGTTGTGAATAGAGGTTGAAATATTATAAATTAAAAAAGTGTAAACAATGCACTGAAATAGCTAGGGTATGTAATTTTTCATGCAAATGCTCGAATGGTAAACGTTTTGATAGAGTAAAACCCTCACAATATAGATGTGTCCCAATAAATATAATAACGATATTGAAAGTTATAATTTATTAACGAAGATCATTTTTGTTTTGATAATAAAGTTTAATAATTAATAGTAGTTGATGGAGGTTATAACTTTTTTGTAGTGTACGGTTGTTATGATTTATTGTAGTCAATGGAGGTTATCATTATTGTTGTTAATTTAGGTTATAGTTCCTAGATGTTGATGCAGGTCATACTTTAGTGTAGTTAATGGAGGTTATAATTTATTGTAGTGAAAGGAGGTTATACTTTATAATTGTAAATGGGGGTAATTATTCATAGATAATGAGACATACATTTCACTTCAACATATTATTTCATGATAAGTCAGAGTATCCCATGATGCTTTACGGCAACCTCCCGGTATGCTTTGCAGTACCCTTTTCTGTTGTCAAGGGATACTCTGACCTCTTCATACACATCGCATCAACACATTTGCCCTCCCGGAAGACCTGATTTCGCCTTCGATTTAAAAAAATGAATGAGGTTATCTTATTCTTGTTTTTTGTTTTCACATGCTGCTGTATCAACATTATGCTGTCTTTAAATATCAACAAAGTCTTGACCAAGTCCATTGTATATATCCTCCTGAACTTGATATATGCATGTCTTTGAACAGTATGACTTTCGTGATAGATGTCGCCGGCGACGGACAAACTTATAACACTGGGTTTCAAAAGAAATGTTATGGTCGCAAATATGATTTCGTTATGAAATAAATGTCCTGTTTTTTATGAAGGTCGATGTTTTTGGTTCTGCTCATTAGTATGCAATGTTGTTTAGTTTTTACAACCCCAGATATCGCCATGAGGACCTGTCATGCTTTGGATTTGTCGGGCTGTCATCGATAAAGTAGAAGACGCTTAGCCTTCCAGAATATCTGGTCAAAGTTTTCTTGCATTTTTGCAGGGGTCTCATTGTAAATTATTTCTACTGTCATGTGTTGCCCTAGTTATATAGATTTTGAGTTGAATGTACTTCAGTGTTCTCTTGTTAATGCTTTGTGAATTGACCTTGTGGTCTTTTTTGCATCGACTTGTTTTTGGATCTTGTCCTATGGTATGGAAGGTCTTGTACCTTGTCTTTTCTTTTCGTTTGACTGTTTTCACAAAGAATAAAATATAAAAGTGAATTAAAAAATAAAATGCAACCGATAGTTTATCCATGTATTACGAAACATGAATATGGTTTGTTGAATTGAGAAGTAACGTAGACTTCTAGCATCTCTGATTTGTTGGCTATTCCAATCTGAATTGTTGCCTGTAACTATGTTATACTTTACCTGCTAAACTCCAGGTTTACCAGTTTATCTTATCAACCACACATGTCAACAACAACGATGTAGATGATAATGCTGTTCACATTGATGAGTTTAGGTGCCATTTTGTAATCACTTTTACAATTTTTATTCTTGAAGAAACATGGAACGATAGCTGTTTGATGAATTCCGACTGCACTGATCACCTGGTATGTAACGACAGGTATAATACCTGTGATTGTATGCGTGTAACGGACGTTTGGGATCCAGTTCATATGATATGCCTATCAAGTAAGTCAGTATCTTCATTTTGTTTAAGTATTAATTGTGTATCTCTTTTATTTGTAACAAAATTTCATATCAGTTATTAACAGTTGTATGGATTATGAAATATCCTCGTACGTTAACGCTTTCCAGGTTTGGAGTTCCTTGCGATATATTCACCAGAGAGACTAGACTTCGCCTCCGCTACCAAGAACTGCACTAACAATATGACAGGCTTCCTGGCTACTCGCGACTTCATGAATAACATGTTCCTCACATGCATGGACACTAACCATGATATATGGCTGGCCAACACCATAGAAACAACGAGTACAAACGATGGAGGTATCAATTTTTATGATGTTCTGTATGTTATCTTGTATAAAATAAAGTCTTGAATATATAAATATACAAAGAACAATTAACTGATAAGACTTACAACAGTACAACAAACAGCAAAGAATGGATCAATGATTTAATCGATAAATATAAAACCACGGAATAAATAACAAATATAAGTGGTTAAATGTTGCACTATTTTGAAAGCAATGGGCTCCTTTCTCGATATGCATACCTTATGTATGCTCACCATACCGTCGGGTATGTCATGATGCAATGTAAACTCGAGTTCTCTCTACGTGCCATCTTGCGGAAGAGTTGAATATAGTGGAAAACGTCCAAAATCCTTATTACACTCGAAAGAGATTTGAAAGAGATGAATTGAATCGCGTGGCAGAATATCTAGCTCCTCTGTTATCTTCATAGGCAGGTATCAGCCCAGCAATCAAATTGTTTACTATGAGCCTTTTATTTAGCCTTAACATATTCTAAAGGTGCAGAGAAAATATTTGTATCAAAAATGGAGCCGTTGTATTTCGAATTCGGATGTTGCATACTAATTCAGTAGTTAAAATGTTTTACATGTATGGACTTGCGTACACATTTCACACTTTCCAATATCGATTTGAATGTATGTTATCTCATGATTTAAATGCTCATCATTTCCTTACAGGAACTAATGAGGTGGGATTGTGTATAACAGGCGGTGTAAACCAAGCGTCCGAAATGTTGTTGACGAGTGTGAACTGTAA